TCTCAGCCAATCAAATATATTTATATATATATATATTTTTAATATACAGTATAATATTTATGTGTCTGTAACATAGGTGTTTATTTATTTATACAGTATGTATATATATATATATATATATATAATATTCTGAACATTAAAATCAAAATATAGGTCATGGAAAAACTACAAATAAGTGGATTTATTAAAAAAAACAACAGAAGTGCATGAGTGTAAAGTACAAAGCCGATGAGTTGTTTATTCGCTCTTTATTGTGTGAACAGAGTGTTGAGCTCATTTAATTTGACAGAAAGACAGAAATCCAGCTGAGAGAGCTGTTACCTGTTGGAGCATGCTAAGTTTAACTGATCATTCTTTTGAGAAAGGTAGCAAATATCTCTCCCATATATCCAAAGTCCTGTAGTCAGCTGTTCATGTGATGTCTGTGTGTGTGCTGTTCTCCAGCGCAGTGTGTGTCCGTGTTTGTGTGTGTAAGTGAGCACGCGAGGGCTCTGGGTTTATGATTATGTGAGCGGGACCGCTGTAGGGGGTCGGCCTGGAGGAAAAGCTCCACAGTGATTGTGCTCGTCTGGCGCCCGTCGCCCCGAGGTCACGGGCTGCGGTTATGTTAAGAGATTACGGTGAAACGTGCGTGAAGGAGGAATGTCTCTAGTCTCATTGTCACCTTCGCCTCCCTCTGTGCCTTCAGTGTTTTTATTACTAGTCATCTCCTCATTGACTTGCTAATATCTTAATTTTGTTAGCTTGTCTTGTAACATGATTGTTTATGGCTTGTTACTCCTTGTTCTTGCATGCTTTAAGCATTAGAGGAGAGAGGGTGAAATATTGTTTAAAAGTTTGGGGTTGGTAAGATTTTAATGTTTTTGAAAGAAGACTCTTATGCTCACCAAGGCTGCATTTATTTGATCAACAATACAGTAAAAACTGTAATACTGTAAAATAATTGTACAACTTAAAAGAACTGTTTTCTATTGTAATATATTTTCAAATGTAATTTATTCCTGTGATGCGCAGCTGAATTTTCAGCATCATTTCTCCAGTCTTCAGTGTCACATGATCCTTCAGAAATCATTCTAATATGCTGATTTGATGCTCTAGAATCATTTCTGAATATTATCAGTGTTGAAACAGCTCATCATTTTTGTGGAAGCTGTGATACTTCAGGATTCTTTGATGAATAGAAAGTTCAAAAGAACAGCACTTTTTGAAAGGGAAATCTTTTGTAACAAGCCACTTTAAAAAATAAAGCACATTCCATATTTTTTAAATCTATTATTTTTTCTATTATGTTATTGTATTATTATAATGTATTAATTATTTAATATAATATATATTAATAGCTTTATTTTATAATTTATTATACAATTATATTTATAATCTGAAATTAGAAAAATGCATCTGTAACAATTCATGAACAAGCAATGAAATTTTCCAGAATATATTCAGAATATCTGATTGTAGTGAAACATTTTTTATAATAGTCTTAGTACTATTAGTATTTTATTTTAATAGTATTTCTTACATTTTAATGCAAAAACTAACTATCACTATTGTTGTGCCATCTAAAATAATTTGCATGGTTTTATACATGGCTAATTCATGTAAAAATATTTGATTATGATAATTTTGGACTTGTATAAGTTTGACATCAAAGGCTTTTTTCCTACCATGTAAAATATTCATGCATGCATACATAAAAAAATTTAAATATGAAATTAATTTTGTTAATAAAATAATAATAATAATATTAAAAAAAAAAAAAATTCTCGTGCATGTGAAAAACTGTGTACTGTGCATGTGGGATCCTTTCAAAATGTGGTGAAGTGATGTAATGCACCAGTTGCTAAATTAGGAGAGTCACACGGCTTTACCCACTGACACATCTTAGCCCTCTCTCCCCTACTATAAACACAAATTTTTTTAAAGTCTTAATTTTGAATTCCTTAAAAGCAGCTTTGTGTAAGTGTCAGGATCCCTGCACTGCAGTAACTCACCCTGACCACTAGGTGGAGGCAGAGAGACGAGGTGTGTGTTTGTGTGTGTGTTGCAGGACAGGACTCTGATAACTGACAAGAAATCTGTTGTGAAATCATTAGTGGTGCCTCCTGAGACAAACAACCCGTGGCCTTAAGTACTGTTAAACTGTGCAGCTTGTTGAGGACAGGTCTGTTAGCATCTTGCTATTAAATGCTAAAGTCTAGCTAGAACTTGATGACAAACACACTGTTGCAGATGTCTGAATCGCTGTCTGTGTCAGCTCTTGCACAACACTCGCTAATGTTGCTCTACAGGCCTTCAGACTGGTTTAAGGAGGATTATATTTATTTATAGTCTGCTGTAGGAATAATTCTGACAAGACAAAAGTTAAATGCATGTCTTAGATAATTTGGAAATACTTTTAGAAAGTGCTTGCTTTCGACAGTTTCGAAAATGCTGTGGTGTGCCGTTTGTGTAAATGTGACCTATATTCGAAATCTGCCGCTTTAATTATTATTATGGAAAGTAGGGCTGTCAAAATGACTAAAACTAAATTTGAATTTTTTACTTAATTTAATTATATTCAAATTTAAAATGCATAATTTCAGTTAGGGTGAAGAAAAGCTTTTGGCTTCTCTTCTGAGGCCACAAGAGGGCGCATCGAGCAAAATATTACTAATGCATGTTTATTCAAAGCATAAGATAACATGACTATCTGTGAAAAAAGTGCATAATGTTTAAAATAATGTTTATAAACCAATTATAAGTAA